GAGTATTTGTATTACCAATTTACCCGATTATTTTCGCGGATCATCAAGTGAGTCGATACTTTTTTTAGGGGAGTGTAGTTTAGGTTAGTAGTTTATGTTTATGTTTAGTTTTAGTTTTAGTTTTCTGCTTAGTGTAAGTTCATATTCCAAAACGTTTCGAGAAGCCAAAAGAGTTTCTGGTCACAACACTGGTGCTCATTGCCATCACCTGGATCCACCCCAGTTCCAATCCCTAGAAAAGGAATTTAAAGGCTAAAAATTACAAGAAAAAGTTGGAGGTAGAGAATGGTGGGTGATCTGAGGGAACAAGTGAAGACATGGAGGCACCTGATTGTAAAGAAAAAGATAATGCATAAGTGGTATAATAAGTATACAAAAAAACCCAGTTCATTTTAGGGATGTCCACCGAAACCTCCCTTTTCGGTAGTACCGAAACCGAAAGTGTACCAAAAGCACTTTCGAATATTTGCAAGTTAGAAACCTAAACCGAAATTCAAAACCCATACCGAAATTCAAAACCTAAACCGAAAGTCAAACAATAAATACATTTGACAAAAATCGCTTATTTTATTTGAATCATTATCAAAAAATCATTATCAAAATTTATATTAATCCTAATTTTTTTCTAAATTCAAAACATTATTTTCTTAGCATAATTTCTAATATTTTTCTAGTCTCTTTTCGTTTTGGTTTGGTTTTCATCATCTACATATCATTTGTCTTATAATCATTTGTTCTATTTTCGCAGTATTCATAATCATTTCGTGATTTCTTTCTTCACCCGCCTGACTTCTTCACTTTTTTATTATGCTCATCACTTGTATCTTCATCATTTTCATATCTATCAATCTCTTCTTTTTAATTAATTTCCTCATCAGAATTAATAGTATATACACTACCTGGACAAAAGTCAGGCGCATTTTTAAACAAAAATTGCACAACAATAATTAAATAAAAGGTTCCGTTTTGCAACTTAGGTTACCAAATTATATATGAAAAATTTCACATCTTAATCATTTTTATTAAGAAAAATAAAATCTCAACCATTTATTTTCTCTTCAAAAAAAAAAAAATAATTGCCGAAAAAACGATCATACCTGAAAATTTAAGGCTAATATTTTGAGTTTAAAAGATTTCAAAGGAATTGTTCAAAAATTTATTAAGAATGATGTTTGTTTACAAAAAAAAAAAATTAATAATAATAAAAACAAGAAAAATACTTATTGAGACTTTTATTATCAAAAAAAATTTTTTTTTCTCCTAGACATATATAATAATAATGGAAAATTTAAATTTTGCATGTAAAATTTTGAATTACAAAATGAATGATATAAATTACATGTGTTTTTATTGTGTGTTTTTATGCAACTTAAAATGCTCCCGACTTTTGTCCGCAATGTACTTTTAAAACTTCACTATTTTTTCAATTTTAATTGGATGAAAATTAAAATTAATTCTTTGAATTTTTTTTTTTTTAAATTGTACAGGTTATATGTATATGATTTAAGAAAAAGAAAAAAAGTAGTAATATAATGTTTTCGGTTTAGGTTTTGACTTTCGGTTTTGAACCGAAAGCGTTTCGGTAACTTGAAATAATTTCGATGGACATCCCTAGTTCATTTCATTTATCAATTAATCTAATTAGGGTAATTTTTGGTATGATATTGACTAATTTACTTTTCGTAAAAATGTAAGATTATCCTGGGGATGTTAAAATGAGGAGGAAGATGCTTATGGCCTCATCCAGTCTTGGGTAATTCAAAAGTGTAATCAACAAGATACTCTGACAGATTATGCTTACTGTCTTTCAATATTTGAATCTGAAAATGTTAATTTAAAATGGATACCTTTTGAGTATAACAAAGTTGATGGAATATGGATTAGGCTCAATTTATACACTTTCTTCATATTAATATATTGCATACCAAATTCAAATTCGTAAATTGACATGTGTGAAATCAATAATAGAACCAGGATTTGGAATTTATACAACAACTATATAGAATGCTCTTATTCATCTACACAAAATGATCAAGTTTGTAAAGATTATGCAGATTTATATAAAACTTTATTTTGTTAAATTACTAAATTGATATTTATACAATATTATTATGTTTATCAAAATTACTAATTAATGTTAACACGAAAATTAAATTGATGATACTAATACATTCATTGGATTGAAAAAAAGTTGAAAAAAATAAAATTAAACAGCAGGTTGATCGTTGGTGCTTATATAAGGTTGATTATTTGTATCGGAGTTTGAATAAGATTGTGCAATTTGAAATTGTTGAGGAACAGGATTCTGCTGGTTGGTCATTACTGTGTTCATATTTTCGTTATCATTGGAACCATTGGTGTCATTGCCTCCTTCACTTACAACTTGATTTCCTTTGTAAAATGCAAAAACTGACAAGAGTGAGAATATAAGGGATATCATCACAAGACTAAATCCACCATCTCCGAGTTTCAAAGTTCCACTACTATTTTGTTGACTAAGCCAATTTTGGAGTTTTAAAAACACATCAATTTGTCCTGACATTGCTAACAAAATGATTAAAGAATTGAATAATGCAAAGACCCATGTCTTTCTTTTATTCACGACATGACTACGAGCCTTAATTCCGATGTAAAGCAACATTAATGATGTTAATAAGCCTGAAAATATATTCAAATAATTATTATACTGTATATAATATATTTTCACACTTTAATGGTATTATTAATCAGTAAATACGTTACCAATGGTATGCATAACCAACAAAAAGTTTGTACCGCCAAAAATGTTCAAACTTTCAAAATTACTCTCGCACTGATATGTATAAATAATAAAATCACGAGATCTTCTATCATAAAATTGCTTACACTCGCCGTATATTCCAAACAACCTCTTGTCACCCCCATATTCATAACTCGCAATATAAATTGACTTGATAACTGGCGTCCCCAAGTTCAATAATAAAAGACACAAGAACGAAATAAATGACATACAAGCTGCAGCGGTGTTTGCGGAAATAACGAAACTCATTCCTATCGCTTATAAAATGATTTTTTTTAATAAAGAAATTGAAACAGGATAAGTGTGTTTGAGGTTAAATGATTTTTTGGTGATAAAAAATCTTGGATTCAAAAACTAGGCGGAAGGCTATATATAAATTTTCTCATCTAAATGTATTTTTGTACTCTTCATTTTTTTTTATATTGCTCAAATTGATATAAATATTTGCGTTTCACCAAAATATTGAAACCAATTTCGCACTTTTTCATTTTATTCGTTGCGTTCACCAGAAAGTAGTAATTGTACTGATGCTAAAAACAGTAGGTTATTATTTTAATCATTATCATAATCGAGGTTTTAAATAATACTAATTAATACTCAATACTGATATTTCATTTTCCCACCAAAAAGCGCACAAAAATACTATAGATATAGTCAAATGATAAAAAGAATATTTTCTAGCATCTAATTTAAGTTGAGCACAATTATGAGTATAATAATAAAAATATTAATGGTGTGAAACTCAAAAACATAAAATATGGGTGGGTTAATAGGTATTACTAGTGATGCCGGCCAGTAGGAAAACCTTTAGCCGGCTAAGAACTTTGACGAATAATATGTAAAAATAATAGTTTATAAAAAAAGGGCATTATTTACTTCGTTTATTTTTTTTTTTTTTTGTAAATAAATTCTCAGCTGATGAAACAATCTCTCACATGCAGAGATGTTCCATCTGCATGATTTTTTAGGAAATGCAGAAATAAAATTTTACAATATAAAGCTCGTAGTGGTATATTTGGCAACTCATTGGCATGGTTATCTACCAATAATGTGGATTTATTAACCTGGTGGAAAGGTAATTTTGGAGCTGTGATACCTGAATTGACAAAAGTTGCGGTAAGAGTTCTTTCTATTCCTACCTCATCAGCTGCAGTGGAAAGGAATTGGTCTACATTTTCTTATGTACATGTTTTTAAATTAGTTTATATATATATTAATAATAAATTGAAAACCCAAAGATAAGTAAAGTTACAAATGTAGGTAAAAGATATTGATGATAGTAATGATGACGATAATAATGATAGTGATGATACTGTTGATGATAGTTGATAATGCTGATAATAGTTTAAATATATTATGTTCAAGAGGAATCATAAGTTGCATTTTAGAAAACCACAAATATTATGGACAGGCTACTTATTTTTCTTCCACCCGGGTGTCCATTGTCATCATCCGGGTGCACCCAACCCTGTGAAATCAACCCAGGATTTGGATTTTATACAATAACTACATAGAATGTTCCTATTCATTCACACAAATGATCAAGTTTGTGAAGATTATGCAGATTTATATAAAACTTTATTTGTTGAAATTACTAAATTGATATTTATACAGTATTATTATGTTTATCAAAATTACTAATTAATGTTAACACGAAAATTAAATTTATGATACATTCATTGGGTTGAAAAAAATAAAATAAAATTAAACAACAGGTTGATAGTTGGTACTCGAATAAGGTTGATTATTTGTATCAGATTGAGGGTTTAAATAAGTTTGTGGAATTTGAAATTGTTGAGGAACAGGATTCTGCTGGTTGATCATTACTGTGTTTATATTTTCATTATCGTTGGAACCATTGATGTCACTGCCTTCTTTACTTACAGCTTGATCTCCTTTATAAAATGCAAGAGCTGATAAGAGTGAGAATATAAGGGATATAGTCACAAGACTAAGTCCACCAGCTCCAAGCTGCAACTCTGGTCCATATTCATCTAACCAATATTGGAGTTTTATAAAATGGTCAATTTGTCCTGCCATTGCTAAGAAAACGATTAAAGAACTGAATAATGCAAAAACCCATGTCTTTCTTTTATTCACAACATGACTACGAGCATAAATTCCGATGCAAAGCAACATTAATGATGTTATTAAACCTAAAAATAAATTCAAACAATTATTATACTGTATATAATATTTTCACACTTTAGTGGTATGATTAATCAGTAAATACGTTACCGACGGTATGCATAACCAACAAAAATTTTGTACCCTCAAAAGTGCCCGGATGTCTAAAACTAACCACGCAATAGTATGCATAAGAATTACCATTATTACGTTGCGTACACCCGCCGTATAATCCAAACAGCACCTTCTGAATCCCACTAATTTTATAACTCGCAATATAAATTGAATAGATAATTGGCGTCCCCAATGCACTAATAAAAGACACAGGAACGAGATAAGTGACATACCAGCTCCAGCAGTGTTTGCAGTTTTAGCGAAACTCATTCCTATCACTTATAAAGATGATGTTTTTTAATAAAGAAATTGAAACAGGATAACAGAACTTGAGGCTAAATGATTCTTTGGTATAAAAAATTTTGGATTCAAAAACCAAGCGGAAGGCTATATATAAATTTCCTCATTTATTCTTTTTTATAGTGCTCAAATTGATATAAATATTTGCGTTTCACCAAGGTATTGAAATAACCAATTTCACTCTTTTTCATTTTATTCATTCATTGCGTTCATCAGAAAGTAGTAATTGTGCTAATGCTAAAAATAGTCGGTTATTATTTTAATCATTGAGATTTTTAAATAATACTCAATACTGATACTTCATTTTCCTACCAAAAATTGTCCCACTACGCACAAAAAGATACTATAGATATAGTCAACTGATAAAAAGAATATTTTCTAGCATCTAATTTAATACTGTTTATTTTTATTTTGTAAATTAGAATCAAGTTGAGCGCAATTATGAGTATAATAATAAAAATATTAATGGTGTGAAACTCAAAAACATAAAATATGGGTGGGTTAATAGGTATTACTAGTGATGCCGGCCAGTAGAAAACCTTTAGCCGGCTAGAACTTTGACGAATAATAATATATATTCATAAAAAATAATAGTTTATAAAAAAAGGGCATTATTTACCTAGTCTATTTTTCTTTTTTTGTAAATAAATTCTCAGCTGATGAAAACAATTTCTCAGCCTCCCTGGTATTGGCCAAGTAAATTCCTGTTTGTATAGCAAATATTTGGTAAAATTACTTTTTTGACTCGTGAATGGATCTCTGATTTTATCTTATATCAAAAAAAAATTTATCTTCGTTCTATTTGATTATCATCGAAAAACAATGGTAAAGTTGACTTCTGAGAAGAGCTATGAATTTCCTCTGCCCTATTAGAATTAAAATTATCTTTCTCAATGGTCAAAATTATGTTTAAAAAATCCAATTCTCTGAATCTTGTTATCAACCATAGTTTGTGTTAGTACATCATTTAATTTTCTAACCAAATTATTAATTATTGAATAAATATTACTTACTCAGTGTTGGGCAAGAACTACCGCTTATTATTTCAGCAGCATCAACAAATGACTTCAAAATTTTTTAACATTTTAAATCATTATCTTTTATTTACGAATTGTTTGCATAGTTAAATAAGTAAAGCCATTACAGATTGTTTCGTGACCTTTTCTAATGATTAATAGTTTGGCTGACCTTTAACTATTAGTTAGGTTGCTTGTAGGGACGCTTCAAGTAGTATATATATATATATATTTTTTTGCGTACCTGGCTTGGTAAGACGGCGAGTAACGGCTAAGAGGGCACTCGTCAAGAAGTGTTATCAGATTAAGGATTATAGCTACATTTGGCCGAGTGCCTGGAACAATGTAGTGAGGAAATCTAGTCAAGACTAGTGATGTTAGCCGGTAGAAAAACCTTAGCCGGCTAAGCCGACTAATAATCTGCATACATAATTTCTAAATTTGGTAATAGATTTCCGCGTTATCTTCTGGTTATGGAAATAAAATTAC